CCAATACTTTTAGTCCTTGCCAGAAGTTGATCTAGAAGCTTACTACATATTTTTCACCACACAAAGATAAATCAGCCTACCTACTAAGATGTCCCCCCCCCCTTCCCAGATATTGGTAGGTTCTTAAGAATTTCTTATTTGGGTTTTTGTGGCTGCTCAGTTGGTCAAGCTGTATTTCTGGAAGTTTCACTTGTTTTCCATTTCACATATGTAAGATAGAAGTCTTTCCTGATTCCTCCAGAGACTGAAGGACCTTGTGAGGGAAGAGGATCGAATGGCCTTGGCAGCTTTGAAGACCAGAGAGAAGATGGAGGGACAGTGGCAAGCACATGCAGACGTTGGGAAAGGCCCTCCAGTTACTCAGCCTGGGAGCTGTGGGAAGAATGGGGCAAGTCTTGGGCAGAAGAGCCAAGAAGCTGCAGCCAGGAGTTCAGAGGTTCAATGCTGTGACTTCAGAAAAGTGGAGTTCCAGGAGGGGAAAAGTCCCCGAGATGTTTGCTCTCAACTTCACCTCCTTTGTCGTCAATGGCTGCAGCCAGAAAGACACACCAAGGCTCAGATGCTGGACCTGGTGCTCCTGGAGCAGTTCCTGGCTGTTCTTCCCCCAGAGATGGAGCAATGGGTGCGGGAGTGTGGAGCGGAGACCAGTTCCCAGGCGGTGGCCCTGGCTGAAGGCTTCTTGCTGACCCAGGAGGAGGAAAAAATGGAAGATTATTTGCAGGTGTGAAAATGTAATCAGTTCTAAGAAGGATCTTACTGAATTTGTCAATACCTCTCTAGCATAATTTTTTGGCCAGTTATTCTATTCTTCCAGAACATGTATTTGGAGCAATTCTTTGATTCTCATTTTTCAACGTCAGTGATGGATACTGTAGTCTGCTAGGTTGAGGGTGCAGTAGGATAATTCATTTCTGTCTCTGTGCTCTTCCCTTCTTTGTCATGTCACATCATGTCTAGAAATCCTTGGAAGCTGGGAGTGAGTATTGCAAGGAAAGGAAAGATTCAGCCAAATTCTCTCAAGAGCTGAAGTTCAGGGAGACCTTCCAGAAAGATCAAAGTCAGGACACTACGTCAGGTAAAAGAAGTCTTTCTGTGGGATGTGAAATTTAACATCTAGCTGATTGTTTGCTTATCTTCAATGGAATCTATCTCTGGTTCCTTTTTTTAACAATCTGCTTCCACCATTTTCTGTCCCTCACAGAGAACAGAAAGCTCTCCTTGGTATTTTTAGAATCACCTCCTCTTCATGATAGAGCTGGAAGAGTGGCTGAACCTCTGCCTCAGGTAGGAGAAGAGATATAAGAAAGGTCTGTGAATCTTGGATGGATTTTATTTTTTTTCCCCTGGAATTCAGTGTATAATAATGCTGGCTCTAACTAACACAAATTTTGTATCAGGTCATTGAAAAGTCACACTTAGCTTAACCTGTTTCTTCTGATAACCTTTCTCCACCCTCCTGCTTCAGACTCATTGACCAGATGTTGTAGATCTTCTGTCTCCCAAGGTCATTCTCACATACCATTACAGGTTTTCCCAACACTTCCATGAAAGTGTGGAGTGGGGGGAAGAGTTGGTCCCTCACTGGGTAATGAAAGCCATTGGCAAAAAATGTCACATGGGTTTTCCCTGTATTTCCTTCTGCCCACTCTAAGAAGAATCAGAGTCATTGATACGTAGTGGTTTTAAGACCAATTGACCAAGGAAACTATTTTAATTGGCTTCCCTGAAAGGCATTCCAAGTCCTTCCAACTTGATCAAACGTGCTTCAGTTGTGTTGTCACCCCAAAGTGGTGAGATCTCAATTCAGAATTCTGCAGAAGATGCCCATTTTGTTCATTGCATCTCTTTTTTTAGAATTATTGGAAGAAAACTGTCCAATTATGCTTGGGATTATCTGTTAATAGGGAAACTTCTGTCCTTGTTCAGGGTGTCGTGTCTTTTGAGGAAGTGGCCGTGTATTTCTCCAAGGAAGAGTGGTCTCAGCTGGATCCTGCCCAAAAAGCTCTCCATGGGGAAGTCATGCTGGAGAATTCCAGGAATCTGTTTTCTCTGGGTAAGAACCCCTGTCTTTGCTCAGATATGGAGAGAAGACATTGGGGGTTAGATGTAACCATCTACTTTTGATAAAATATATCCGATAATATAGCACTTTTTAAATTTATATCCTATCTTTATTATTATTTTTTAGTACAGGTACAGGTACAACCTTGAGATATAATAGGCCATTTAACATTCAAAATTATGACAAAAGCTACTTATGATCCCATTTCAAGGTTAAGACAGCTGGAGCAGGCTTGTCATTCACTCTGACAACACACTACAGGTTTACCTACAGTGTCCTCCCACTTCTGTTTCCCCATCCCATCCTGCCAAAACCTTTCAATGCTCGGGCCTTCTCCCCTCATGCCCATCATGCCCCACGCTTAACTTCTGAAGCTCCCCGGACCTCATTGTGGAAGGAGGGCAGGCCTGTGTCCCAGGGCTACAGTTTGAAGCAGTGTGTGTGGTGGCTGCCATTTTGTCCTGCATGTTTACGGGTGGGGACAAAATGGCGGCCATCACACCAACTGCTTTCTTTTTCTGCCTTGCAGAAGTCTGCACAATGCGGCAGAAGCTTCTGAATGCTGCAGAAACCTTCTTCGGCACTGTGCAAACCTGTTAAGGCAGCAAAGCAAAGCAGTTTGTCCCTGTGCCGTGTGGTAGTGACCGGAATGCTGTTGCTGTTTTGTGGGTGGGACAAAATGGTTGCTGTTTTTGAAACTGCTGTGTGGCTGTACAAAGAAGGAAAAAAATGTGGCTGCGCAAAGAAGCATTCCAGTGCTTTGGAAGGCCTCAGAGAAAGATGTTTGGCCTGGTGGGGTGTGAATCAGGCCTAAGGCTTAGGATGACCAAATGCCAGTGGGAAAAGCTCTGTTTGGGACCCAAGGCATTGGAAGGGGAGCATGGGGTGGCTTGAGGGTGGGGGAGGCCTTAGGAGGACAAGGGCAAGTGACCCCGGGCCTGTAGTAGACCACCAACATCCTCCCCCACCCAGGAGGCACTCCAGGTGCTCCACTTAACAACTAGAACATTGGTTTTATGTTTAATCAGGGAGAACAGGAATGGGGAGGGTCATGAAGTGACATCTTTCACCTAAAGACTGTGCAACCTGCAACAGTAATGGGTGGATCCCACTATGGTCGTATCTTGAGGACTGCCTATAAATAAAGCAGCGGAGATGCCTAATACTCCTTCCATCTCCTATTTTTTTCTCTGTAATAACAACCTTGTGACTTGGGCGAGCTGAGAGAGAGAGGCCCAAAGTCACCCAAGTGGCAATCATGCTTAAGGAGAAGCTAGTCCTCAAGGCGTCTGGTTTCTAGTGTGGTGCCTTAACCAGTAGACCAAACTGCCTCTGTGCAACAAAGAAATTTATTGAAAGAAAAATTGGAACACTGCACAGGTATCCATTTTCACAGAAATGAAATGGGTATCTTTCCAAGTTCCTTCTGCTCATAAAATGCAAAATATTTATATTTATTTATTTTCACAAAAGAGACAATTGGCAAAAAAATAAAAGAGCTCATGATGGTATTGGTTGGAAACATGCGGAAGAGA